TTTCTAAAAACTTGGAATTTTTAAACTGATTTAAAATATTTATGTTAGAGAAATCCTCATGACAAACGTTGTAATAAATCGAAAACATGCTTTAAGATGACGATGCAACTTTTTACTTTCTTAACAACCTGTTAAATCACTGATGATATTGATGAATGTGAGAAAAAAAATAAATCAAATTGTTGTTCAAAAACTACTAACTTTTTTAAATTAATTACAATTTTCAAAAGGAAGCATTTTTGAGGAAGCTTTTATTTGAGGAAGTTTTACTTTCCTCAAATTTTATCTCCTTATTTATCTGTTCATATTTAAGTAAACAGTTAAAGTAATGTTTTTAGAAAAGTTTACTGATAATTCACAAGTACAATATAAATTAGTTAAGTTATATCAATCACATTCTGAATGTAAAAAGAGGAAATGTTTTGACGAATGTTGTATTTGCCGATAAAAAACTTATAAAATTGGTAGCTTAGAAATTCAAATAAAATCATGGAATAAAAAAAAAAAATCCATTTGAAAGGCAACGTCATGAATTTCGGAACTAATCTTATAAAAAAAAAAAAAAAAAAAAAAAAAGATCCACTTTTCTCACTTTCCTTAGCTATGGAAAGCACCAATCTGATTATTTTGATATATATTTCGTCACCTTCGTCCTTTTAGATTTTCATCATCCAAATGCTACTCCAAAATGCATTTGCTTCTCTGGCAAATGTCAACTGACTACATTGACTTAAAAAGTCTTAACATTGTCGATGTTTCTTTCTCATTTTCTTCTCTTTTTTTTATTCTTAATTTTTAATTTCTTCCCTTTCTCACTTTTTTTTTTTTTAATTATCTCCTGTTACGCTTCATTTGTCTTTTACCTGATTGTTTGTCTTGAATTTATTCATTTCAGCTTTTCTGTTTCGATTTAATTGTAATTAAATTCGTCATAGTAATTCTATATTGTTTCTACTTTATTATATCATTACAAAAGTCCTATCAATCTCTTATCAATGATATCATTCTAACTGTTGTAAAGTTCCATTATATTATTGTAACAAAAGAATAATTATGGATGACAACAAAAGTATCATCTATCAAGGTTTGACCTTACTGAAGCAATAATGCATACATCTTAGAAGAGCTATTTTTAGTTCAGGTGGACGAGACGACATGTGGTGAGAAGTACTGGTGACAGACGTTGAAGTTTGGGTGGGGCAATGAAAAGGGTAAAAGGGGTGTGGTGGAACAAAGTGAATGGATGGATGAAATAGGACGAATGGAAATAATAGGACTTACTTAGTCAGGAAAGGACTCTAACAATCATTCCTCAAGGCCAAATGGTCAGTGCTAAATCATATGCTGTCTATTAGTTCTTAATCAAATGGATCAAAACAATAGCTTCTTAACTAAACCAAACACTGTTATCACTATTATCATCATCATTATTATCATTATTGTCCTTATCGATGGATTATAATCATCATTCAGGATGCCATATGTCACAATCCCGTGATTCCCAAAGAACTGATAATCTTGTTGATTTCGCTCAGCATATCATTTATACCACCGTATTACCACTTGTTTGTACGGCTGGTGTATTTGCTGCCTCCGTATGTGTCATCATATTCACTCGTCCACAAATGCGCTCTTCATTAAACATTTATCTGGCCGGTTTATCATTTTTCGACTTAATTCTTTTACTTGTATCACTTCTTATTTATCCTCCTATGCAGATCTGTTTGCAAAATAACGTAAGTCATTTTTTTTTTTTAAATTAGTTTCTTACTAAGCATTAAATACTTAATTAGAAAAAAAAAAAATCTGTGAAAGCGTTTTGAATATACTAAAAAAAAAGTGCCGAGAAAGTTTGTACTATCAACAAATTGCATAAATAATCCTTAAAGGCATGCAGATTAATTTACTTTTTTGCAATAACACAATTTTCACATCACTTTGCATGACTTAACAATAGATCAAATATGTGCCTACTGTTCGATACAACTTTTATTTGTTATATTTTTCATAGCAAATCACCTCGCAACGCTTACAATATTGAAAACACGATCTGCAAGTAGCACACGCAATGACGTAAATCAAACATCGTTAGTTGCAATATAAGCTTTTGTTATGTAGAGAATTATTATTATATGACTTGATGCAGACAAGCAAATAATTTTGAGTAGATTTGTAAGCAAAACTTATAATTAATTATTAGTGACTCAATAAATATAATAAATGAAAAAATTTCCTCTTGAAATTAATGTTGAAATCAAAATTTACATAATTATTTGGCTAATCTAAAATTCAAAATATCCGCCTTCATCATCATTAGGAATCATTTTGATGTTTATCAGCCTATAAACACGGAGCAAAATTATCATGAAAACAACACTTAAGATGAACTATCGGAATGAATTTTATAATTTTTGGACATATCACAAACTGTTTAATTCATAACTTTGATTAATATGATCACCACTAACTCAAATTTGAATTAGCTAAATACAAGTACTAGTGGTACTGAAAGAAAATATTGGTAGAAAAATATTTGAAGATGGTAAACTATTTTGAATTTTTATTTAGAATTAAAAAGAAAAAAAAGAAAGACCACAATGTAAGATCAATTTTTAGAAAATTTCTTTCATTCTTTTCTGCTGCGAATCATTTCCCTTAAAAGTACACTGAGCATCCCAGGCATGTTCTGACAGCGCTATTTATTTACCGCTGTTCCTTTTCAATAATGCTTAATGAGTTTACTGGAACGTTTCGAAATACCTCAACTATCTAGCTTTTAAGCAATTTCTGAATTTTTAATCATCATAAGCCATGATCAATACTTTAATTAATCATCGAAATTCATTCGAACTATTTTGTTTGTTTATTTATATATGTGTAAATTTTTATAGCTTTTTATATAATTTTGTAGTTTAACTATGTATAATATGTGAGTCTCCAATAACATTAGTTTACTATTGTGATAATTGAAATATTTATCAAATATAATAAGAATCTTGAAATGATGAGAAACAGCCAGAAATTATTTACTTTATTGATCATTGCTTTTTTTTAACATACTAAAGAAAAAATGGATTAAAAAAAAAGGAGAGATATTCATGTGTTCATGTAGATCACTTATATGTTTTACTTTCGGTGTTCTTTCAGAATTAATGAGATTTTAGCCTTCGATTTCATTTAAACCAATTCGTCTATCCAATAGAAAATCTTAGATGTGAATGATTAAACCATTAACTGTGATAAATAATTTGCATATATAAGCGAAAAATAATATACAAATATGAAAAAGATTTTGTCAGTAAGTGGAAAAATTACAAAAGAAAAAGTTTTCACTAAGATAAATATACGAGAGAAATTGTTAGATGTTTAAAATTGTTTCTCAACAAGAATCAATCATTAAATAATCGATATAACTTAATGAAGTTACAATTATTAGCATTCCTTAATCAAATCAAACGAAATAATTGCTCAATCTTTCATAATAATTTCTTAACCTAGACAAGCCAATTACTTGCTTAAATCATTGAAACAGAAATGTTGCATTTCTCTTCATTCTCTTAAAGCTTATGCTTTTATATTTCAATAAGGATAGTTCCCTTTCATAAGATTGAAAAGAATGTGTTGCAGGAGGTAAAAGAAAATAAAATTTCCTAAAAATAGTAGAACGAAATATCAAATGGTAATTTTATCATTTTTGATCATATATGCACAGTAATTTGACTATTAAACAATTTATTGTTACTTTATTACTCTTTTCTTTTATTACTTCTTCTTTTGATCAATAATGCTATTATGAAAAATTTAGCAACAAAAAAAATGATTAATCTGAACATTAATCATATTGCCTAGACAGTAGGGTGACCAATTTTCCATAATATTCTCGTATTTCCTATACCATAACTCATAGATGAGAGTTAAAATTTAAGTAATAATTTGCGAATGATAAAGCTTATTTGCTTGTTAAAATCACTTTAACTCATCATTGTATGAAAAAATTGATCTGACCAATAAATTTAACAATTAGTATTGCAAGCTTTTTCAGCAAAATTTAAACCTCTGTTTTTTTCAGAATGTAAATCTGTTTTTTTTTGTTTTTTTACTTGTAGCATCGTCAAAAATAAAAAAAAGTAATATTAAATGTATTTTTTGATAGTAGCAGATTATACATATCTATTATATTTTACTACTGATAAAAATGAGGAGACGAATTTAAAAAAGTACTGATTAATGATTATTACAGATTGCTTTATTAGTTTCTCGAATGAAACATATTTTCAAAATGAAATGATAAAAATGAAGCTAGTTTAGGTTGACAATCAAAGCATGAATAAATTTTACATATAGTAAAATGGAAACACAATCGTATGTTCCTTATACATTGATCAAAATGGAAATTATTTTGAGACTTAGTTCTATTTGACTTGAAAAAAAACAAACAAATATTATCATTAATTGACAAGGCAATACTATTATATTGGAAGTATGTTTCATGATCATAGATCAATGAAGCATTGATAGAGAATGATTTGAGTGGTCAATTTTTTTCCTTTTTTTTTTGTATTTTCCACTTGAAATTTCCAATTTCTTACAAAGACTAATCACGAAAATTTTTCATTTATTATATTATGAAAATATGAAATTTTTAATAAGCATATGTAAAAAGTGCTATGAACAACTGCTCTTTTTCGTTGAAAATTTTGTTTTGCATGAAATTTGAAACTGAAACTTTTGCATTTACTATTACTTCTTTCAGTACTAACTATATCTCCTAGACAAAAACAAAATATTTCATCGTATCATTGTTATTTGTTGCTGTTATTTTAATGATCATCAATATTAATATTTCATATGCTAGCATGCATATCTCGAGATGATACTCGTAGAAGTACATCATTCTCAACTAAGCTTAACAATGGATATGTAATTACGCTAACAGCACATATGATACGTCTTCCCATCACTCAAATTAATAAATTACAGAAATTGTTATCGTTACTGAAATGAAAAATGAAGTATTAGTTTTATTTGGTCATATATATATATATAATCTTTTAAATTTAAATAAATTTAATCGGTAAAATTTTGAAATTTTAGCAACAAGGTGCAGTGTGTGAATTTTTTTGGAAGACGACACTTGTCAGTTATCCAATATCCCTTGCAGCACAAACCTCTTCAGTATGGACATGTGTAGCTATCACTGTTGATCGGTAAAATTTTGTTAGCAATATTCAATGATTATTTTTTACTTTTTTATTTGCATTAATGAATGACAATTTCGTATAACTGAATAATTGAAAGTTTTTTAAATTATTGGCTTACTTTTTTCGTCTTATTATACAAAGGCTATTGCTAGTTGAAAGTGAGCTTTTTTTCATCTATACTGACTAAGAATTTCAAAATTGATATTTTGATCTAGAGGTTAGAAATGTCATCAAAAGTTGGGAAAATTGCCCATTATTAATTTCTAGATGAGTATAATTAAATTATTCAATTTGAAAATAACGTTAAATATAAGAAAAATGCGTAACTTTCAGATACTTAGCTGTAAAATATCCACTGCAAACCCGCGTGTGGTGTTCAACATCACGTGCCAAATTGGTTTTATCAGTGATAGCAACAGTATCATTTGTTTACAAATTACCATCACTGTTCGAATTAACATTAGATGAATGTGGCCGTTTAGCTCCAACGCCATTACGTACCAACGGCCTTTATATTGTTTTATACAATACATATGGTTATTTGTTACTATTGATAATCATTCCTTGGACAACAATGATTGTTTTAAACGTTATCGTTATCCGATCAGTACAACAAGCATACCGTATCCGTCGCTCTTTGATGAGTCGTACCGCAAATCTGGATGAAAAAGAACGACATTGTACACTTATGGCTTTTGTAATGATTTTAACATTTATTGCTTGTAATTTAACGGCTGGTATAAATCACATTATTGAAGCATTCTTTGCCGAATATTCCCAATTCTTTCGCTTACGTTTACCTATTGGAAATTTATTAGTATGCGTCAATAGGTTTGTCACTTTATCCTTTTTTCATTATTTGGGAATATATTTAATTTAGTCTCATATTTTGATTGATATCTAAAGATGCAAACAATGTTTGTCAAACCATTTCGTCTCATTAACTAGAGTACCATTTTATTTTTTAGATAAAATAATTGAAAATGGTTAAACTAAGCATTTCCTAACAAGCACTGTTTTATTCAATTGATTTTTTTTTTCAAAAAAAAAATTCCTCCAACATTTTTCCTAATTTCAGTGCTTCAAATATTTTTATTTATTCGATATTTGGTCGTAAATTTCGACGGATTTGTGCAGCTCTTTTGTGTCCGTGTATTGTTAATCGTAATTATAAACGAATGAAAGCACTTGGACTCAATGAGTTAACAAATCAATTATGGAATAAACTTTCAAATCAAACTGCACAGGTTAATAATTTTGATCATTATAATAATCACTTATGAATATGCAATATTTTTAAAAATGATAACGAATATCTTTCATTAAAATTAACATTCGTTCCAATGGAAATAAAATATAAAATAAAAATATAAAAAGAAAGAAAAAGTAGTGAGTAAAATTAAAACAAACAGTTTTAAACCGCTCTTTTAATATTCAATAAGCTATTTAATAACTTTATAATTGAACCCAACTTTTGAGATTTTCGAAGTGATAATAAATTGAGGTATCATTTTTGTACAACTTTACTTCAGTAGTTAAGATTTAAAAATAGACTTAAGGCTGCGATACGTATTTAAAATGTTGTAACTGCTTTATTGCAAAAGTTTGATTAAAATTTAATTCCCATGCTTAAATCATTTTCTTCAAATTAAATTTGAAGAAAGGAAAGCCAATATCTTTATTGCTATTTCTAAGTCAAAATAAGTCCAATATTAAAATTAGAAAAAAAGCCGATGAATCGAGATACTATTGATTATTGCATAAAAGAAATGTTTCATTAAAACAAATAATTTCGTTTTAAAAGGCTATGGCTTTTAAATTTATCAATTGTCACAGTGAGGCATTTTGAAGAGTCTCGATATCTAATATAAACAACATTTAGACCATACAAAAAGTTGCAACTAAAGTTGTATTAATGAAATGAAATAATATTTAAGCGAATTACAAAAAAAAAATTCACTTTGATGAGGAAATTTGTAAATTTAATTTATGTTGTTTTCAGCTTTTAATATTTCATTATAGGAATCTTTCGTTCAGCAAAGGAATCAACGTTCAATTTCAAAAATTGGAAGAAGTTATAAGGAAGAAAAATTTGCTAGTCCTAATAGTATTACAGAAACTTTGATTGAAAATGTTAAATTTGATGCACTTGTGAAATGTTCATCAGAATGACTGAAGTGCTTTAGGCATGGGATCACTTCTTAAAAATAATGATAATATGAAATAATAAATATAACAGTTTTCTTTCTGTACAGTCTTGATATTTTGCTTTTTTATTAACATTATTATTATTATTTTAATTGTTGCTGTTATTATTATTATTATTACGATTACTGTAAAACATGTTGCCAACATGTAATAAGTGCCTACGACATGATTCTAACCATTTGAAATTATTTATGGACAAAAGATGACAAAGCTGAATGGATAGTGGGTTCATTTCTTCTTTTTTTTTTTTTTTTTTTTTGAGATCAAAAAAAGTGAAGTTTAATTTGGCATTTGAGAAACACATTGTAATAACAAAGTAGTCATTGCATCTTACTAAATTAGGCGTATCGGGCTTATTAATTAATTTTCAAGCTCTTGAATATTTTTGATAGCTCAAGAAAGATTAATGAATCAAGAAAAAAAAAAACAATTAAAAAAGTAGCATTGGCAGAGTTTTTGTTCCGAGATTACATATAAAATACATTTTGTTTAGTCCTCAGCTATAAAGGGAAAGAGGGAAAGGGAAAGAGAGGGAGAAAGAAGAAGAAAAAGGGAGAGTTTCAACCATACGGAATCATAGGTCGAAAATGCTCCAAACATGATTGAAAATGCTTGCTCCGGAAACAGTCCGATCTGAAAATACTATTTCATGTTTTGAAATTTTTATATGCTATTTTAATTTAATTCGAAATTAATTATTTCTATGATCATTTCTTAATAACAATCAAAAAATTTCCATAACTCAATAATGTAAAAGAAGGAAAATTTGCATTTCAAACCTGCAATCGGCCCTTGTATTAGGATATTGATGTGAATACATTTCATGACAAATTTCACAAACTCGATCCATGATAATATGCAATTGCTCATCGTTGTAAATTGAACAGCCTGGTTTTGAGGTTGTTGAAGTTGTAAACATCCAAGCGTTATGCAGAAACGAAATACATTCCATAACTAATACAGCATCCAGGAACAGTACCAGTAGTTTAGGATTTATCATTTTGGTGCTATTCCAATTATTGCTGCGTTATTTCCATAAATAATGATGATGATGTGGCGTCGTCGATTATCAGACCTCTTAAAAAATGGGACGGGTTGATGCAATTGAATAACCCTTTCTTCAAATATCAATGCTGACCGAGCTATTTCGGGAATGTATGGAATGTTTTGCAATGCAAACGGTTTGAGAAGTTTAGTTACAATTACAACGAGTACTCACATCTCTTTTGGTTGGTGATTATCTTTCTGTTCCTCATCTAACCACCCTTTTCTCCTTTCCTTCTTCCTCTTACTTCTTCGTTACCTTCATTAAATTCATTTCATTTACGGTTAACAGCAACTTTCATCAACATGCCATCTTTTCATATCTGCAAATTATTCTCGAGATATAGTTCATCTTCTATGACAATAAAAAATTTGATGGAAAATTTAATATGAAAAAAACGTACTCACATCTATTATTATTGCTTTGTATATTGATATTAAAAATAAGCGCAAAAATGACAACAACAATACTAATAATAAAAAAAGTAGCACTAGTAAATACTCTTAAATTGAGCACTATTCAAGATTTCATCGTTAATCATATAATAAGTTAAGAAATGGACTAAAATTGATGAAACAAAAACGGAATGGTCAAATTAAGAAGGTATTTAACATCTTTCAATTTTTCAATATTCTACTAATAGTGCAGAGTATGCATTTGTTATGATAATCATCTGTATTTCAGATGTATTATCATTTTATTTGTAATAAATTTCATACTTTACAAGTATTTTTGGCATTTTTTTTTTTTCTCTTTTTCTCTCATTATTTCTTTTCTTTCTCTCTTTTCTTTTTAAATTTAGTTTTAGTTGCAATTTTGTATCATTTCGGCAGGCATTTGATTTTAAGATGATTTTAGCAAACAGCAAAACAACAACAATAGTGGAAAGAAATGTTGCTTTGGTGAGAATAGCATAAAGCATATTTGAAGCTATTGGAAATAGTAAAGCTCGTCAAGAAGAGGCCAAACTGATCCATCCATCCATACATGCATAAATAGTTGAATTCAATCGAATTTTAAGACTAAGTAAAGAAAGAAAAAGGGAAGAATAGGCGTGGCAAACATACCAAACCAATCTTAGGCCTTTTCACTCCTTCTGCGTCATTTTCATTTTTAGTCAATATGCTATGATTCAAACTGCTTCCAATCATCGATGTCATTCAGTTCGCCTTTGTCAATCACAGTTAGCTTTAGCGTCTTCATTGATATTATTATTATCATTACCACACTGATTACTTTTACTCTTCTTGCCGGTATGTTTTTTTTTTTTTTTTCGTTTCTCTTTCTCCCTTTCTCTCTCTGTCTCTCTTTCTCAATCTCTTCCTCTCTCCCTTCCATTAATTTTTTTCGAGAAAAAAAAAAATTGTATGCCAACATTTGCTTTTTTTGTTGCATACTTTTGCAAACTTTTTTTTTGAATAATTTTCAAAAAAAAAAAAATCAAATACCAAATGTGAACGAAACTGTTATGCTAATAGTAATATGGAAAAGTATGAATAAAATGATGTTGATTGTTTATTGAAATGTTAACTTTTCCTGACAACCACTATTACTCGTTAACGATTACATTTTAAATTCTTCCGTTTTATTTTATTTCATTTTATTTTACTACTTTATTAAATTTATTTTAAAAACAATTTTTTTTTAATCACAAAATATTTCAATTACATTTTTATTACATTTTTTTTTTTTATTTAATTTCATCTGTTCTTGTTTACATTTATTTCAGAATGATGCAATGATATCTTCTTTTTCTTTTTTTAGATAATAAATTATTTTGTATCTTCCAGACAAAGCATTCATTAATTTTAATTTTTTTTTTCCTTTTTGGTAATAAGTTAATATTATACATCCATAATAGACTCATATATCAAATAATCATACTTAATAATTAAAGTAAGCTAAATGAACAACGGAATTTAATTACTGTTTCAGACCATTTGCTAAATATAGTATCGAATATTTGCAAGCAAAAAAATGACATAGACGAAAATTTAATTTAGATCTTACTAAATATCTGACATATGTTTCTATTCATTCTTCTATAACAACTCTATATTTTCCGTTTCTTATAGAATTATTGAAGTAAATGAATGTATTTATCTTTATTTTCAAATATTTACTCTTTTTTTCCCTTCCATTCTCACAATTACTATTTTCAGTTAAATATCTCAATATGTAATATTTCAAAAAGCATTTTTTTTTTCAGAAAAGAAAAAAAAGAGGAAGAAAAAATGAGCTGTTAGGGATGGCGCAAATAAGGGCAAAATCTTTCTGTTATCTTTGTTTCTATAAAGCCTAAAGTATAGTAAAAGTTGAATGGCCTTATTTAAAAACCATATAGTTGGATTTATTTGAGTTGTCTAAAGCATAACCTAATACTGCACTTTTTTTTTTCTAAAGGAAGAGAAGTGGGAATCAAGACAAGATATGACAATGGCAAAGTTCAATTTCATTAGAAAAAGAACTATAAATACAAAATAAATAATATCTTAATATTATTTATTTTATAGTTAAAAGTACCATTAACACAATGTACGATGTAAAAATTTTATAAGTATAAAAAGTAATGAAAAAAGCTAAAAATCAAAAGTACGAAAAAAATGAGTTAGAATCAGTCATTACAGAATTATACAGCCTGATTATACATTCTGCCATAATAAACTGTGTATTTGTTTCAAACTTTAAACAAATCACTGAATTCAAATATGAGAAAAATGTGAGAACTATTTATTTGTTTATTTATTTGTTCATTTATTGTGAACAGCGGTTCAGACTTTTAATTCTAATTTTTTCATAATTAATTAAGGTGTGATAACGGGGGCTAAGTGCTCAAATTTATTACGTCTTGAGCCACCACCTCTTAACAATAGTCGATATGTGGTTCGAGTTGATCGTAAATTTCGGATTTCTTGCATTTGTCAACAGACTTCTTTAAATTGTTTACATCTTGCATGGCGAAATGAATTTGGTCGTAGAATAGATGGCGAATCTTCAAATAGGTAAGCAATATTATTTTAACTTTAAATAATATTAAAACGTAAGTTGGTTCTACTTTACTCACCGATAAATTGAACAGGAATAAATTACTTCAGTACTTCAATATTATCAACGCAATTTATCATTTAACATAATTTAATGGATTATTGATGAGTAAAATTTTATGTTTATCTTGATCCGTATCTTTCTATCTGATAGATTTGAAGTGAGATGTTTTATTATGCTTAGTGTCATAATATTACTTACTACAAAGTTACTTAGATTGTACAACTCATAGTTTTTAGTCTGTTTACTGTTGAGTTACGAGAGCATAACACAATGTATAAAAAGTTGTCGTTGGTATTCACCCAAATTGCTAAACGTGATACCGGGATCTATAAATGTGTTGCCAGGAATTCCAGAAAGATTTCGGCTAATTGGAAAGTGGAAATCATCGTCGTAGGTAAAAAATTTCTAATTTTGATGAAAAATAAGTGAAGAAAAAAATAATCGAATTATTTATATTGGACAATATTAAAAAAAAAAAAAAAAATCTTTAAAAATTTTCCAACAATAAAACACTTTTAGATGAAATTCATTGGAAAGAAAACAGTGATGTTGTTGGAGGGATGTTTGGCGAATCGTTGACCATCGATTGTGGATCCACTGGCAATCCACAACCGGAAACCTATATTACGAATCATAACGGATTTCCACTTAATGGTTTATCATAGCTTCATTTTATCATATTTTTGACAGCATAAAATTAATCATGGTACTAAATCGAACTGAATGCCATTAGGAATTTGTTTATTAAGTAGGGTATGATTCATTTGAATTTATTTCTTTGGATTAATTATATTAAATCTAAAAGTGACATAAAGTGACATAATCAAAGATTAATATTTTTTTTTTTTTTAGTGAAAGAGTTAGAGAAAGATCAGAAGTTTTATATGATTAAAATGGAATGAGATCTAACTAATCTGTTCATTTTTACTGTTGTATCATGCACTTCAAATTATTTTATTTCATTTTAATAAGTTGAAAATTTTAGCATTAATTAGTTTGATTTAAAATAGAATGAGAATGAATTGAATATTGAATTTAATTCTAATCTTTTAGATATTCATATATTGTAGAGACGTTGTTCGTTACGGCTGGATCAGAAGTAACTGTTAAGAAGCTTACAAATGAGTATCAAGATGCTATCATCAAATGCTTGTCAGTTCAAGAATTTGAAAAATATGATGCAACAGTTGTTGAGCAACACGAAATTCGATTAGATGTTTGGTGTTTGTATTTAATAATTTCTTCAATTTAGCTATTAAAATTGAATCCATCGATGGTATGATATTTTGACTTCGAAGTCATATTCGGAATCAGAATGAATAATTTTAGCGTCTCCGGAATTCAATAAACCGTTTGTGGAACGTTTTATTGTTCTGGATCAATCAGCTCAAATTTGTTGTAACGTAACGCGTTCAAATCCACCTGCTAGGCATTTCCGATATTTGAAAGGTAGTGATGAACTCCAGAACGATACCAATCATATTATTTTAATTGATGCTTTAAATCAAGGAAGTTGTCTTAAGGTAACTTCATTTCTTGATTCTCTTGAATTATTTTAATTTAACTTCAACAATTATATATTGATTGTTGTGTTTTTTTATGTATGATCTAAAGCTTGTTTAATTGTTTCTTAAATAACTTAATATCATTCTCTGTTTCATAGCATATCAATGTTTAATTATACCTTTATTATGCTATTAATTATTTCTAATACGAAAATTATCATTTTTTTAAAGTGTTGATTTGCATCATACTTTAGATTTTATCACCAACAGAATATGATTTGGGTGAATATCGATGTGAAGTGAGTAATGGAAAGTCAAAGTCACAACAAACAATTGCTGTTAAAGAAGCAAGTGTGTAATATTTATTACTGTAAAAAATTTCATTATAATTTTTAAAAAGAAAGGCGAAAAAAGAAGAATCTTACATTACAGCTCCACCTGGTGAAGTTCATGTTTCACTGCAAGATGTTGGAATGACTTATGTGTTGTGGAAAATTGAGGAAGGATTTGGTGAACAATTGCCAATACGACGTTATATTATCGAATATATTAAGAAATCTATTCTAGAACAAGTTTCAATTTTTTTTTCTTCTATCAAAAAAAAAAAAAAAAAAACAAGAAATAAAAACAGAAAATTATAAATTTTTTAATTTTTTTAAAGTTTTTTTTAAAGTTTTATTTTAAGTTTTAAATTTTTTAAAGTTTTATAAATTTTTAATTTCTTTTTCTTTTATTTTCACTCTATGACATATGAATATTTAAAGTATTTCGCAAATTTTTATTTAAAAAAAAAAAAAAAAGATTGGCAAAAATATATTATGACGTAAACTAATACATAATTTAAGAGTCGTGATCAAACTAGAGAAAATAATCGTGTTTGGTTTGCGCATGCTGTTAAAATGAATGTACATTTAAGTATGTTTGCTTGTTCATTTTTTTTGTTTCTTTGTTATATTACAAAAATACAAAGATATTGTTTTACTAAAGCAATAAATTTTGAATTAGGTAATAATACGTCGTAACATTTTTTATACGTTTATTTGCTACGAAAATTTGAATCATTTATAGATAAGGATGGATTATATGAAATTGGTGGATTACGTCAAGGAACAACATATATATTCAGATTTACAGCAGAAAATGAAGCTGGAATTGGTGATACGGTTACAGTAGCTGTAAAAACAACTTCAGGAATCAAATTATCTAAGCTCACACGATCTGCGTCATTAGCACTTCAACAATTGACACTTATTCCTTTTATTCTTCACTTTTTTCCCTTCTGGCCAGTTTGAAATTTTCAAAAAAAAAAAAAAGTCTTCTTTGTATTGCCATCTGGTAATTGCATTAAAAAAAAAATTTTTTTTTTCCCCAATGTTGGTAAAATTATACACTCTAAATGACTATATCATTTCTATGCTAACTATGATTTCTTAAATTTCTTCCAACAACGCATAACAGTGCCATCTTTGATTAGTTGAAAATTTTGGATGCCATGCTTTCATATTTCTTCAATACTGAGAATTACCTTAAAAGCAAGGTTTTTTTTGCTATTTTTCCCACCAATTTGATTTAATTGATACTAGTTTGAAGTGTTGAAAGTGTTTTAAAGTTTTCGAATAGATCATTTTAAAGGAGAAATAGCACATATCATTTCTTTTTTTTTTGATTTGTTTTTTTTTTTTTTTTTTTTTCTATTTATCAATTTTTTTCGTAGTAAAACAAATTTTTTCTTTTAAGTTGCATATTATCCAACAACAAATATTCTCTGTGAATCAGTTTTTGCTTATGTTTTATTCAGGAATTCAAAAAACTGCAAGCATTTCTGGAAACCAGTTTACTTGAAAATTTCCGTCTCAAATTAATAAAATAAAAACTTTATCATTGACATTAGTAAGTATTGTTTTTATTTCCTCACAATTTAACTTACATCCAGTGATTATTATTATTATTATTATGCAGCTATTTATCTTATTTGCTCATTTCGATTATTACGAATCGTCCTTTCACTATCGATAAACGATAAACATATTCTCAGTAACAGTTTCAAATTCAAACTCAGCTGTTAAAACGTTAAAACTGTTTATTACTGATTTTTTTAAGTCGTTTTTTCTTTTTTTTGAGCGCGTTCCGGTAATGCTTTCAGTTTCATATTTTTCTTCGTAAAACAGAAATGAAAACTGGTTGGCAGAGATTTATTGTTACACGATTGCTATTTTGCTAAGAAAAAAAAATTGCATTTTATTTTACAAAAAATACCAATGGACAAAAAAAAAAAAAAACTAGTTAAAAAATTCCGAATTTCCTGTTATTTATTACTTGTAGATGACCTACCTAAAAATTTTAAATGTCTATTATTTATAAGTATTTTGTAATTACTATAAGTGTAAAAAGTATACTGTGTTATTTGTCCATTTTTTCGTCAAACAAATTTCACTAAAATACTGTGTTCCGAAATGTTCATCTAATGTATCAGAAATAAATTTCCATTTTAACAGAAATCCATTGCAAACAGAACAACTTTTCATATTATTTTTATTAATATCCTGGTGCTGTTCTTGCATTTGGACAATGAACACATGATTCACTTGGTCCACGTTTTCCAGTGGTACCTTTTTTTCCAGGAAAACCAGGACAACCATCGAGTCCTGGGATATCAGGATCTCGTGGTGGATCCTGCTCGCCTGTAATTTGAGCCAATAAACAGTCTGTGCTCATAAATTGTAATTACTACATTATGAATATAATTATAATCTAAAATACTCAATGGTTCAGCAAATATTAAAATTAATCTAACCTGATGGTCCTGGTATTCCAGGTAGACCTTGAACTCCTGGAGTACCAACTGGACCTTGTGGTCCTGAAAGCATCATATCATATTGCAGTGTTTCATCTTTCATAGCTTAACTGCGGTCAAAAAACTTTCATTGTTTGTATAACTTTCAAAATTTCAAAAAGATTTTAACACTTTTAGATTTTAATTCAAAAGAATTTTAATGACTATTTCAAAAAAAGAAGAAAAAAAAAAAGCTAGAAACATAAGTTGTACTCGTTGTTTTAAATTCAACTGATAAGAATTCTCTTGCTTAAGTAAACCTGGAAGTCCGGTGGTCCAGGTTGCTTAACGATATGCTCATCAATGCCTGGTTGTCCTTTAGGTCCGGCTTGTCCTGGCAAACCCTAAAAAAGTTGTTCAAAAGAAAATAAGATTCTTTTCCTCAAAAAAAAAAAAATGATTCTTCTAAACTGGCAGTCCTGGTGGACCTCGTTCACCACCATCAGCATTCAAGCCTGGAACGCCAGGTGGACTTTTAGGACCTACAGGTCCTGGAGATCCAACATCTCCTAAAAATATGTCATATAAATAATAAATTCGAAAATAACACAATATGTGCGGATGGTTTAAAAAAATACTTTTAGTTACATTTAAAGCAGAAATCAGTTTCTTTGGCAACAATCACATCACCATCAATTCCCGGTATTCCATTGCTTCCTGGTAACCCATCCACACCATTTTTCCCATCGCGACCCTTTGGTCCAGCTGAACCCGATGGTCCTTATTTACAACGTGATAGAAAATATGTAAAGCAAAATGGTAGTAAGGTAACTTTATCGTTATTGATTTATTGTTATTAAGTTTTGTCTTTCATTAAACACTTAACATACATGCTGCACTGCTATTGTTTCGACTTGGCGCTTCTTGATCAATTGATCAAAATTGTCTTCTCGCTTTTGTTTCAAATTTCTTTCAGATAATCGTTTAAAAAGCTCTAATGATCGATCCTATAGCCAAAATTTTCATTTTTTTATCGCTGTTATATGAATAATAGCAAATGAGATGAAAGTAATATTATTTTCTTTAACACACGGTTGTAATTCCAGATTTCATATTAAAAAATATGTTCGATGCAAATAATTTTAAAAAAAGACAAAAGTGAAAAGAAAAGTGTTTTCATTCAAATTTGTATAGAATACTAACTTCGCATTAAAATTAAATTCGTTATTAACATTAACTTAAGCATAATAAAAGAAACGAAAAAAGAAAATGCTTTCTTCTGTCATTATGCTATTATATTTGCTTGAAATATAATCAAACCCATATAACTGAGACAATTCTTCATTTCATAATTCTAGCATTTAATCATAACAATAGTACATTATCATAATTACAAGTTATTTACTCATACTAAGACAAATAATAAAAACAGAAAGGTTAATTTAATGATTTATCTGATATGAAATTTCAACGTGTACTACGATTATTAATGTAATATTGTTACTGATTCACAGGTAGTTCTTTTAAGAATACAATCATATAATCATCTTCTAATTATACACTTACTATCAATCAATGAATAATGATTTATACTTACTTTGCAGTATTGAGTTTCAGTTTGTAATTGTGTCTGAACGAATTGTAATTATAAAGTAGTGGAGCTGACATTACACAAACAATTGCAATAAAAGCACTTATTGCAACACCAAAAAATGCCAAATATTTAAGCTTTTCAGTACATAATAAACGTTCTCGAATTCGTTCAATGTCATTAACCATTTGGCTGAATTATTTTAATTTGATCTGCAATTCTTTGTTTTACTAGAAAAAGAAAAAAAGTTTGATTTGAATTTTTCATCGAACAATAGGCAAAATGAAAGTGAATAAAGTTAAGTCTATCAAAATTAATCAAAAAAAAAAAAAAAAAAAAACAGGATTAGGCAGAAAATAATGTAAATATGCTAGTGGGAATACATTTCTTATTTTTTTTTTGTCCTTCTTTGACAATTGAAAATTTGAAATTATTAAATTTGCTTTTTCCTCCATTTTTATCTCGAAACAGTGTACCAAACTGAAGCATGCAATTTGATGAGAATTCAAAAAAAAAATCAAATTTAATCAATTTATCCATGAAATTTCTGTTATTTGTTTAAAAGACTAGAAATATTTATTACTAACTTAAATTAAAAAAGTTTTCTACTTACTACTACATTCATGTAGAATTTTAACTTCAATTCTAAATCACTCCTGGCAGAGCTGTTTTTTTCTTCTTTTTTTTTTGGGAGCAACCATCAAATAGTAAAAGCAAATGCTCAGTCATTTTTTAATAGCAACATAAACTTCTATCAAAAATTCATTTAAGTTACTAATTCAACACTAGCATTCAGTACATTGAGTAGAATATCCGATAATATTGATGGTTGATTGGGAGATGACCAAAATAGGTAACGGAGAGAAAGTTGAAGGAAAGTGACGAATGACTTTTGCAACATGCAATGGCTAACAATGTAATAAAATTATTCTTATGAGCCAGTTTTCTTCTATCTTTCCTCCCTTTTTCTTCTTTACATTGTTGTAATGGGTGGAGAATAAGTGAAAAAGATAAATCCGGGAGAAAAAGTGGGCAATAATAATAAGTATTAGGAATATATTCTATAATTCAACGAATGAATAACTAAAAAAAAAGACGGGCATATTGCTATAGTAATATATGGTAGTTATATTTAATCATTCTTTTTATTCAATACCATAAAATATTTTTATACAAAATAATTTAACTCTATTTTCATTAATATTTTTTCTTTGATGTTTACATTTTTATAAGCTAATGCTACTTTATTGCACCTAAATTGTCTTACTGCATAGTTCAATTCATACTTATTTCATTCCAGAATGAAAGTGTATATCATATTAAGAATTTGTAACAGTAAATTAAAAAATATGAGCATTTACTTGGAATTTTCAAGTTATTATTATTTTTTTTTTTAATTCATTCTATCACATCTTTTTCGTAAAGCAATTGATGCCAAGTAGTAACAATAATCAAATTTTGCGGCGATTCATCTTTTTTTTAAAACTTTTTCCTTTTAGATGCCATTAAATTTAATACCTTAAATATGTATCATATTAAAAGACACTTCTAGAATAATTTTAATTTCTATAAATGCTTTATTCCCCGTAAAAAATTATACAGATAAATACACTCTTTTTCAGCAAAAATATTAGATAGTGGAAAAAGTTATCAGAATTCTGAAATATTATCTATTTTTGTCTGTATGAAAAGATCTGACATAATGGCTATAACAAAGATATTAAATTAATTTAAACTGCATGTAAATATAAATAGAAAATGTTTAACTTTGAGAGAAACTGCATTTTCTAAATTTTTTCCTAAAAGCTAAGCTAACGTTTATGACAGCGATTGTATAGTTTGCTCAATTCAATTTACTATAAGTGAGGCAAGAAGAAATTTCTAAACGAAACATCTGATTTGAAAAGCATACATATTGAACTTTAAAGCAATGATACTATAACACATCATTCATGCATAAGTCATAAATCATCAAAGATTCAAAATTTGCTTTTTTCAGGAATAACTGCTTGTATATAAAAATCGTATGCAATCTTTTTTTTTTTTAAAGTGGTAACAATTATGTGTAAATGAAAAAAATACATAAATGATTAGCAATTCATTTTTTTTTTTACTGTGGATGTAATGGTTTCCTTCTAAAATTAAAACTATTCTTTAACTGGATCAACAGTAGTTACTGGTGTTTTCTATTATAAGGCACAATTTCAAAAAAGGAAAAAAAATGCTAGATGATAGTAAAAGATGTTTACATATTTGAGCTATGCATTTTCTGCTCTGCTAAAAAAAAAATGGAAAAAAAAAAATAGCTAATATCCCTGATAACTTTTTGTAATATCCACTGGAGATTCTGCTGTATTGATTGCTGTAAATGGAGCATTCTGATATGCACCTCTCTCACTTTGTCCTGAAATATTTCAAATTTTAAACTTTTCAGAATAAATGAAATCCTGTATATCACTTATATAGCACAGTGTTCCATTAAATTATTTAGAACAACAGTTGAGTGACAATAATTCTATTTGAGAAAACAATGTTAAATGTCACTTATGTTTTTTCATAATACAATTTAAAGTTTTCATTTCCATTATCCTCTCGTAATTTTTTTAATTTGATTTTACTACATAACATTAATAATTCGAGTAGCCTCATTTGTCAAAATAAACTAACCAGCAACGCCGATATCGCTTTCTCCACCATAGCTGTAATCTGGTCCAGCATGTATCCCAGTTGTGAAATCTTGTTCATATGATGGTACGAAATTTGTTATTGCACCTTCTTCGTATCGTCTCCATGCCAAAAACGTAACCGCCCCCTAGAATCGATGAAATTTTAATAGTAATTATCCCATTATGAAAGCCAATTACTTGTGATATTAAAGAAGTGTAAAAAAGTTTACTGGAACAGCAGAAGTTTGCAAAAGATACAACTGAAATTAAAATTGATATTTTCTTTAATCATCCAAAACCTTGTCTTATGTTAAATTTGAAAAATATCATCCAAACTTCTAGTGGTGGAACAAAAATAATTCGCTATTATTTAGTGAAACAAGACCAAAAAGCCACCCAAGTAACGAATGATAGAAACGCGAATAAAATGGCGCTTTTGGCCATACCGCCATCATACGGTTTGCTTATATCCACCTCACCATACTTTGACCATAACGAAAAAAAAGTTATCAGAAATAAGAATGCCAGCAGTGCTGAAAATTATGACTTATTCTTTTTGGGCAATATTTTCCAAATTAATTTGGAATTTAAGAAAAAAATATTTTGGAATTCTAACTCGCTTTAAAAATTAGAAATTTAAATATTAAAATGTTTTAAATATCCGTACTTCACTTATTGTTTGGATATTTAGGATCCTTATGCACTTCTCAGAAGAGAATTATTAAACAAATAACACAAAGAATAAATGTAGATGGCTAAAGAAGTTTCGCAGTAATGAAAAATTAGTTTGATCTCCTTCATTCAATTGGCCATTGATCAATGAAGAAAAGTTCATATGTGAGAAATGGACTTTCAAAATCGTATCTAACGTATCCAATGTTTCTCGGCTAATAAAAGTTTCAGTAGTAGTCATAAAAAACGGTTTAATACTATGCGATCGAAAAATAAAAACAGAATAGTCAACAAACCAGAAAGGATCATATCGGTGGTTACAGCACGTTTTCTAGTTGGAATGGAACTAATTTTCTCGAATTTAGCATCTAGAAACAATAAACCCAGTGAACTCAGAACAGCAAAAAAACCCATCGCTGAACCGAAAGAACAGGTCGATGAACTATTGGCATAAAGGCAAATTTGTTTGTCACCATTTTCTGATGTATACCAACCACCACGTGAAACGGCGATCCACTGTGCAAGACCAACAACCTTAAATGTAAAAATATTAAAAAAAAAAAAAACTATCACTGATATGTCTGTTTAATGTTTCAAGTTGCGAAATGTACGATTTTAATTCAGCAACCAAAAAATATATGACGATGATGATAATGAGATTAGCATTTATCAGCTAATTGCTGCAAAGAGTTTCGTCTTCATCTTAACATATACCGTCAGCCAACTAAAAAATTTCGCCAATATTTTCATTTATGGAATATCTTAATCATGTAGATATTTTTCAAACAAAAAAATCTACATTTCACTAACCAAAGCAAAAATTCGCAAGATAACAGCCGGTTTTCTCAAGAAAACGCTCAGTTGAAATTGTCCTCCAGCTAGGCCAGCACCATATGCTCGAACATTCTCCATCACTTATATCTGAATTCTAAGAAATTCAATTCTTGTCCTATTTTTGATTTGTATAGCCATCACACGAATTATTATTTTATTATACCATATTGACAGTAAGAGTAATTTTTTATTGGTATGATTTCATGAAATAAGCAAATGTTTCAAGTGAAATCCTTATGTATTTTATGAAAAATGCTCAAATTCGTGGAGAAAATTGCATTTCGAAGTGAAAAGACTTCTAAAAAAAGTTAAGCAGTGGAAACAGAAATATTTTCCCATAATAAAATATAGCTAAATGAGAATTTAGAAAAATATTGGACTGAGTGACAAATAAAAAATTTCACATCAACAAAATATTCTTTACATGCTAAGCCAATTTTTATTGTTTTAAGTGATTCCTTTTGCTTCTTCCCCTTTTTCAAAAAAAAAAAAAAACTATTTTTAAAAAAACATGCAATTATTTTTTTAAGATGATTTTCAATAAAATACAATTGCAGAGCGACGACAACAATCTAGGGGTCATGTAAATGATTCATCTGTACATCCGGACATATCCGCACTCCAATTTAGACCATTAGTTTATCAGTTGTTAAATTGAAAACTTTCATTTCGATAAAATTGAAAAAAAAAGGCTAAGATAATCTAGTGAAGCGTGATAATGTATATACTTTAAAAGAGAAGTGGAAAATGTCTTGCCATAGAAAGACCTCTTCAATCTGCTCCAGCATGGGAAGTGCATATTCGCACAAATTGATCAAAAGAACCTCAAAGCAACTCACATTGTTAGAACTCTGAAGCTATCGGCCTTAGGCCTTCTCTCCTCCTCTCAATATAGCTAGGCTTTCCCATAAGCAATTCTAGCCTAGCTACTTCTACTACTGATTACAAACAATGCTTCGATTTTCTTCGTTATATGGGATGTTAGGACACCAAAACATTCCATGAATTTTTGTTTTCCTATGTATTAGCACTTCTTACTTGAAAACAATCACCGTCAAATGTCACTAACATTTATGATAAGAAGTATCACCGAATTTTCTTCTATTCGAAATCCATCGAAATGGTAAAAAAAAAAGTGATAAAAAAATGCGACGATGAGAAGGGAAATGAGTTAATCAGTGGCACCGAAATTATTTCTACTGATCTCTGAGGAAGCATAATGAATGAAGAAAGTATTCTTTTAGAACAGAGAAAAAAAAAAAAAACATAACTTTGATGAACTGGGCGGAGATGGTAGATAGTATCTTTTATTCAATCAGAAAATTCTTCAAAAATGAGATCATTCCCTGTTTTTTATATCTCATAAAACTCTCCAATATAATACCGAAAAAGCTTTAGATGAATTCTCTTCTTATGAAAATAGAGTATGATCATTTTACATCCTAACGAATACATCTAGTGAGCGTAAAAGGAATAGCAGTGAAAAGATGTCGATAGGTGTATCCCGGAAAATTCCAAAGCATATAAGCAGTGATTTATTTCATCATAAACATTGTGAAGTTCTTCTCGGAAAAACTTGTAACACCAGGATTATGTTTCCCTTAAAATTATCGTAGAAAAAAAGAACTCGTCAAGCTTACTTCAGACGTACTTCATATGCGCAATTCCCGCACATGATTTTGAACTGGGGACTCGCACCCATAACATTTCATTAGGTCATCATCCAATGCTTCGGGTAGTGATGGGTTAATAATGTGTTCCCCACTCATGGTATTGAGACATGTGAGCTGTTCCATGGACACTACCGCCTTAGCTTCATCCACTCTTCAGGACAATTTTTCAATTCAACACGAAATGAATTGGGAACAGATCCGCAAATTACCGATGGAATGGCTCGGATTCTATCCGTTCCTTTGTAGTCCTGTTAATGCGTCGGTGTAGTTTGTTCTCGTTATTGACCCGGGATATCGGTTCGTTCAAGACTTCCCGTAATTTGATGACATTCTTTATGAGGTTTTCTTTTTTTTTTGTTTTGTAGCCAGGACTAGTGACGTTTACGATTATCTCTTGTCGTAGTTCGAATAGATTACTCGATGTATGTACTTTAATTCTTTGTATCTTCAGCTTATTTCTACCGAATCCGCCAGAAGTTTGCTGAGAGTTAATGCAGATGAATGCAAACACTGGATAACCGGTATATTTTACTTTGAATGGTCAAACTCGTCAGTTACACTGGCATCTAACAAAATCAATAGCCGCTTTGATCGGCTTCTTCCGGATTATCTTCGTGATACAGTGGAATGGATAACCAAGTAAGTCTTAATATTTTCGATAAAGAATTCCATGTTAAGGTTTTTTTTGGGGATTATGTAGGTTTGGCGTAATCTTTGGGTTGTTAACAGGTGCGCTACTTATACCTGTAATATTATTTTTTACATTGTTTTGTTCACACCGCTAACTGATATCAGTAAAGTGCTTCTTGCAGTAAATTTATGTGAGTAACGTTAGTTGCGTATAGCTCTCCGTTTATTGATTTTGTAAATTAGTCTACTTGTAATTTGATCTCCACATCAGATTCGTATCAAATCTTCTAAAAGAGACTGGTTTACTTCATAGACAAGTATTTTAGTAATTTGAACTTGTAAGAACTTTGCTTAGATCAGTTGGATGCTTATTCCTACTTCTCTGCACATTAATTAAGTTCCATTTTTCCCTTTTATCCTTCCTTTTTTCTCCGTACCACTCACTTCTTACGCTGAAGAAAGAACTTAAGCAGCACTCACATTCTTGCATAAAACTGCAGAAATTTTGTCCAACAATTTGTATGTTTCCTTGCTTTAATGTTTATATTTAACTGATCTTAACAGTCTGACAACCTTCAAACCGATGAATTTTTTCCATAAAAACAGTATAAGAAGTGCGAAAGAATTCTTTGTGGATTTTAGCAAGGACTAAATATATAGAGGATGAGAATCATTACCAGCTTAAGCCAAGTTGAAAATTTTCGGAAATTTTTAAAATAAAGTATAGGTAAAGGATAGATGTTGTGAAATTTGAAATTCATAGAATGATACTGACAGTTGTATAGCTTGTTGAATTTCTATTAATTTGTTGGATTTGGTGACCGTTATTTGAAGTTTGTTGGATATGCAGTAATACGAAGCTTAATGGTTTCGCAACAGATTGGGGAGCCCATCATAAGATGTTGCTTCATTTACTCTTGTAATTGTAATAGACAGGGATTTAAGTACTGTTCAGGTATAACTATCCAACGGAATAGCAAAAACAAGAATCGCGAAATTCGTTATCTTAGATATGAAGATGAGAAACAGTGGTATGTAGTAGGTAGAAAAGGTGAACATCCTTTAGGTAAACCATCCATTTCTAGTCATTGTGTATTGAGATAGTATCGAAAGTACCAGATCAAATTTCCTAATTTTTGTGATGCAAAGTGGCATGTCTATTGTTGTCACAAGTACCGGATGTATGTTGCACATATGACAATTCATATTTCACTGTTCCCAGTTGCGAGAGATGGAGGATTGATTTACTGGGTTGTGCGTATGTATGTGTATGTGTTTGTGTTTGTGAAGTGTATTCTCAGGTGAACGATCGCTGGTGACAGTCCCCTCCCACCATTCTCATTGAAATATTAAGATCAGTGTTGGTATAGAAACGATGGTATTACTATTATTCGTTAGTTTTGGATGGAATGTATTTAATAATTTCCTCTTACTACAAGCAATTTTTTTCTTTGGTTCTTATTTGTTCCTGTTCGTACGAATGATGATAAAGGCAGAGAGAAGAGGACGGTTGGAGTATTTCTACTTTCAGTGTTGTGAAGAACCATTTCACTTCACTCTCACAAGCTGTACTATTAACCGCTAAGGGGACATCAGTGTAATTATTACGACCTGTTAATTTTGTTTCTTATTTTCTTATTTAAGCTTTGTTGACGTACTATTATTCAATATTTATGCATAGTTTGTCATGTGAAAAGTCAACTTCGCTATTCTAAAAATGCAAAACTACATTAATGATTGCTCTTATTTCTCACTACTTCCTTACTTCTGTTTGGCTGGAACAACAACCGGCACAATTTTAATATAATTGATTTAACCTTCTTTTAATATAACCGTTCCTGCGTTTTCATCCTTCATTAATTGAATCACAACAGTTTTTTTAATTTCTCATCTCCCATCCTTGTTTAATGAAAATTATGTGAAGCAAATCATTTTACTGACAGAAATTCTCATCGTTGGCGTGGATAGGTTTTTCTAAAAACTTTCTGGGAAGTAGTCGGACTCTAGAAAAAAAATCAGAAATATGGCTGCTTCCCAGATCTTTGTGGAATAGCATCCATATTTTTCCCCCTTTTTTTTGTTCTTATTCCAGGATCAATGTAGTTGATGTTTAATCTTTCCAATAATTAGTCAAAATTATGTTCAAGTCTCGTGTACCTAAGATGTAAGTGTAACTGTACATAAAGGTGGCAGATGGCAGACACGTCACGTTTTCGTCATGATTTAGGTGTAGGGATGTGAAAAAGTAGGATCTTGGTTTCCGTTACTGTGTTCAATCTTATAACGAAAAGCGTTGTCGCTTATTGATTGGGTGTAATGTAGGATCTCTTGTCCTTGGTCTATATTGGTTATAATTTCCCTTATAGATTGAACAATTGAAAGCAAAGAAAAAAAAAGGAACTAGAACGGAAAGGGTCAGAATGGAACAATAGAAAATCACAAAGTTATATTCAATTTTTTATTAGTTTGTACAGTTTTTTTATTGAAAATTATTTTTTCTTAAATCTAAATCTTCAGTTGTAGTTCTAGAATTATTTTCTGCACTATAACTTTTTAACTCTCTGAGATGAATATATTTTATACCAGTACGTAAAGAAATGACGAAAATTTGCATTTTCTAACGTCGGCAGAAAAGCTGATAATGTTTTTTTCTTTGTTCATCTCCAGCACCAAATTATATGATGTTTCCAAGATCACTGATTGTCTAATAATATTCACACAATAACCGACTATTAAATCTGGTGTATTTCATATTTTTCACATTCAGAAAGTTAC